CCCCCGGGGGGGGGGGAGTGCTGCTGGGGGCTCCCGGTTCCTGCCACAGCCCCGGGCTCCCCGGGAGGCAGTGCCACCTGACCTCTTCTGCCAGCAGCCGTGTGCTGCTGAGGTGCGGCCCCGCGGCTGCCAGGACATTCTTCCTTTCCCGTCTCCCGTGACCAAACCAAAGAGGAAAGAAGGCGTCCACTAGAGTGAAGGGACAGGGAGAGGGGCGCAGAAAGACAGGGTGCCCTCCTCTTGAACAGGGAGATGAGCTGAGAAAACGACTTACGGTTAACGCTTAACAAAACTCATACAATTTTTCTTTTAGGTAAAGTCAGAAAAACAGAATTTAAAGACAACCTGCCAAATAGTGGCTGTTAAAATTTTAGGGCACAGTTCACCTCTTCATAATTATTCCCTGACAGCCACCTTTTCCCGGCAGAAGGGAGGAGATGTCTTAAAACTGTCGGAATGACCGGAGGGATCCTGAACCATAATTTCCGCCGTTTCACGTACAAAAGTCGGACGTAGATGCCACATTTCACCCAACAGAAGACATCGCCGATTTCACATCCTGATTTCTGAAATGTGGAAAATGCGTATTTTGGGTTTGTTAAAGATATTCTATATACCTCATTCAGAACTTCAATAAATTCTGAGATAAATGTTCTCCTTATTTATAGAAAAGAAGGTAAATGAAGTTTCTCAGGGTCATCTAGCTAACAGGCGGTAACGACAGAACAGACAGGTCCCTATCCGTTTGATTATTACGTGCAAACCTTCATTACACAATGCTGCTTCTTCGGTTCCTTGCTCAGATAAGAAATAAAAATAGTTACCAGCTAATACGCTTACAGAACTTTAGAGCTGTAGTGTTTGCCATATTTCTAGTAATTTGCTAGGTATCATTAGCCCTGTTTTACAAATGAGAAAAGCTGGACCCAGGAAGATAGCATGACTCACTCAAGGTCACATAATTAGAAAATGGCAGAGCCAGGAGTGAAATCCAAGATAAATGACTCTTAATCCAAACCATGTTTGACTAAGGTCAGACATTAACCAGCTACCAGGCTTGAAATTAGATCATCGCCATAAAGATTATTCAAAGAGAAATAGACTGAATCTACAAGAAGAGATGCGGCACACGTCAGATGAACTCCTTGACGTCTTCCACAAATTACTGAATGGCTGCTCTGAGCCAGGCCGTTCTAGTGCCCGGGATAGAGTAGTGACTAAAAGACAAAAATCACAGGGAGCTTCTAATTCTACAGAGAGAAACAAGGCGGGCGTCGGAAGGGAGGGGCAGGGGCGCTTGCAATTTTAAATAGTGGCCAAGGAAGATGTCCCTGAAAAGGTGTGACGTTTGAGCCAAAATAAAGGCGATAAGAAAGTGAGCCACACGGATATCTGTGAAAAGAACATTCCAGGCAGGAGGAGCAAAGGACCTGAATTGGCAAAGTACTGGCCTATTGCATGAGCAGCTAAGAGGTCGGAGAGCTAGTGGGGGCGGTGGGGGGGTGTGGACATATCACACAGGGCCTTGTAGGCCAATGTAAAGACTCGGGGATTTACTCAGAGCAGAATGGCAACCGTGGGCAACTTCAACGAACCTGTCCGAGGCATTCCAAGTGTGTCTACATCTTCAGTCCAATTTAATCTTGGGCTGTCTGGCAAACAGGTGTTACTCTGTGTCTACCTTGGTACTATTTTATAAAACATGGCCTGTCTAGAGAGCGTTGACAGGTCAACTTCCAGTTTAATAGGCAGCTAACAAATATATACGTATTTGGGGCCTATTATCTGTGCTGGGCATTTTAAGAAAAGCATCCAGAGTCACACGTTAGGTCTTTCCGGCACCACCACTGCGGAGGACGGGTGGAGTGAGGCGAGCACGGAGTCAAGGAGGCTGTGGCAATAGTCCAGGCAAGATGACGACGGTGGCTTGGGGGGCAGGAATGGAAAAGGGAGGTAGAGATACAAAGCACCGAGAGGCAGGCTCAGCGAGGCCAGGGCTAGCGGAGACGAGCAGGGTGTGAGCGGGAGGTGCGTCCAGGTCGACCGCCGGTGCCGCGGCCGGGTGGCTGCGTAGATGCCGCCCTCTGCCAAGGACACGGGAAGGAACAGGCCTGCTCGTGCGCAAGGCAAGAACACAAGTGCCGTCGTTCTGATGCGGGCAGTTTCCGTGGAAGGACAGGTCACTAGGACGTGGCCCGATGAAGATTCCTGAAGGTCTTAGGACTTGAGCTGAGACCTGAAAGATGGTCGGGATTTAGAAAAGAGATGGGAAGGAAACGCAGACAGCACTCCGGGCAGGAGAAGGCACGAGCAAAGGCGGAGAAGCGGCGGAGGAAGTGTACGCGTCCCTGCGAGGAGGGGACTCAAGGAACAGAGTGGACAGCATGGTCTCCGGATGGCGAGGGGTCTGCCTCCGAAACCCTCCGTTCAGGAGGGGAGAATTCTCTATTCCGTAAGGCATCCGGGTCCACTATCGACAGCAGCCCTAGACGGCCAATCGTAGTCACCCCGATGATAAATGCCCCGACGATACCGCTGGTGATCGCACATGAGCACTGCTTGGCTGTCACGAGGTCACTGGGCAGCTCCACAGCTCTGCTAGCACCCAGTTCTCCTGAACCCCGCAGCAGCTGAGTATTCATAACCACCGCGCCATGCTTTCTCCAGACTCAAGTTTAACACTGTATCTAAACTGATTTCATGTCGCCATGCAGCTTTTACTGTTCTTTTAAGTTAAACTAAATAAATTCTATAATGAATGTTTCATCCTGTTGGTATGAAACAAAACAAACTTTTAGTCTATACTGTATTTTCAAGCTTATCAGGCACTACACTAGTCACATTTTGACTCCATCCAAATAACATAGAACTTAAAAAATTAATATTTAATTTTGAAACATCACTTGCTGTTTATCCCTAAATTATTGCATGCAGCGGTGGAGTACATGTAACGTCTTCTCAAGCTCGCCGCGGGAAACAAATATACAAACCAGAGCATTAGCTACAGTTACGTATTTGCCTGAAATACATTCGCGTTTCTCCCCTTCGTTTCCCCTTGGCAACAATCAAATCCCTAACAGCTCTGATAATTCATCATTTCTCGCTTCAGTGCCACCCTTGAAAACAAAGCCATCCTGTGCGACTGTGCATGTCATTATGAGCCAAGGCAGGTCCCAGGTGAAAGGAAGCTCCCATCGCTCCCAATGAGTGATTTCAGGAAACGCTGCTTCTCCTGTAATATAACTGGAAACTGCGAGCTCGTGTCAGTTACGGGGCAACCTGCTAAACACCTGTCGAAAACAACAACAAAAAGGACCACGCCTTCCTTCCTTCCCTGTGATTTTAAGCTGCCTCTCGTCTTACAGCTCGATCTGTTTCACTCCCGCTCTGCCTTACACATTACACAACTTCCATACATAAATTTTCCCAGGCCTCAGACACAATGAAACTGCATTCCTATCTTACTGCCGAAATATGCATCCCAGGAACACATTCCTTTTGGTGTTCTCCCTCTGTTCAATGAGATCTCAGTTTTTCCGCTAATTGTGCTCTAAATTCTCTGAAATGTACCTCGGGGCCTAGACCACTAGGAAGCAAGGTGGGCAGGCAACCCCGCAGAACGTCGCAGGGACGGAGGCGAGGCAGGCGCTCACTCCTGGGAAACTGCTGGGGGGGAGTAGATTTCTAGCCTACCAAAAACAAGCCCCGTTCTCCCCTCCTGCCCAGAACTTCGGGTGCTACATATACATAGATTCAATAGCCCGCGTCACAAGGGACTCCAAAGGCTTTACCAAGGATTCCCACTATGAGCCAATTTAGAAAATCAGAGCAAACGTACAGACGCCTCATGGAATCAGGCAGTTTTTCTGTGTTGTCCATTGATAAATCTGAATCTCCCACAACAGTGCCCAGCCCAGAGGAGGTGCTCCACAAGGATTTGCGAACAGACAGATTTCACCGGGGGAGCCGTTACACAAAATTCTGTGTCTCAGGCATTGAGCGTGAGTCCCTTCCACTCACTGCTCTTCCGCAGGTCTGCTAATTCTCCATTCCCAGGTCACCGCTGCGAGAGCCGAGCGCGGTGGAACATTGAAACAAACAATAAAACATCACATTATGAAGTTAGTTTTTGCTTTGTGATTTGAAAGATTTGCCGTTAAACACTGATTATCTGCACTTCAATTTCCGGCGTATCCCCTTATTTTGAATGACAGTTCACTAGGCAGCCTTCAAATCAGAGAACTGAGCACATATAAAAAGTCTACCTCATTGCACATTGAATTCAAGAGACCGCTTCCCATTGAGGAGCCAGGTGATTATTTTTCTTTTCAATGCTCATTTCCATTTCTTAAACTTGTGTTCTTACCTGGTCGAATCTTTGGTCATTTACTTTTTTTGCACATTACACAAAGGAACACATTAGACTGGGCATCCTCTTGTGGAACAACTAAACAAATTATAATCAGGAGAGACTTTTTTTTTGTTTTAACAGCCAAACATTGGTCAATTGACAAGTCACACAGTTAATATTATGATCAAATCTCCTCATTCAGCATAGAAGGGGAACTAGATTATTTTTTATTCCGTCGTCTTCTAAGCTGAAAACACTTTGTCATTTTGGATGCTTCCAGTAAAGTGATGAGAGACAGACCAATTTGGATATTTGTCCCAGGACAGCTTTCTTCTGATCATCAGTTAAAATATTAATAATGAGGAGGTGAGGGGAAAAGGGACCCGTTATTTTGAGGACTCAGATGGTTTCAAGGTTCCTTTTGAGCTTATGACGCTGAACGGTTCTCAAACGCCTTACCTGTCCATAGCCTCGGGGACACTCCACTACCTTTGAACTGCTAACTTGTATCCTGAAGTCTGGAGGCAAAGCCCAAAATAGGGCCTAATTAATCAAAATTTCTCCCGAGCTCCAGGTCCAACCTAAAATAAGTGAATGAATGAATGAATTAATAATAAATATTATATGCTTTTTCCTAATATTTGTTTTATTTTGATAAAGAAACATTTAAAATTTCTCAAGAACAAATAAAATTGGTGCTCCAGGAAATTCCACAGCATCTCCCCAGAATCTTCTCCATCGATAAGGTTGCATCTCATTGCCAACAAACTGTGTTTTCCCTAAACCTAACGTAAATGTGTAGAAACCGTTTTTCTTGGTTTTGCTACCCACCTGAGGCTGCTGTTACCTCCCCTCCATTCAGCAGCCAGCCTGCACTCAACGCTGCTCGGGCTCACCTACTGCTCCGGCTCTGCTCCTCTGCAGCACTAAGGGTCTTCTCCCCACGGCGCCTCTGCTTTCCTATTGATCTACTAGTGATTTGATTTAGGTTTGAGGCGATTTGGATGCATTTCTTACCGCCCACACACAGGCACACACACACTTGTGCACACAGGCGTTTTAACACAACAGGAGTTTTACTGTGAGCTGCCAGGAGGGGTCATAAAAGGAGCTGCGTCTCATAGCTGATTCCTCTTGGAAAGGGTCCCGCAACATCATTTTCATTAAAATAGCAGAAGATGCTTTTGAAAGCTATTCTCCAAAATGTAAATGGGCAACATGAGACAATCTCATCCACAGGGAGAGGAAAGGGAATTCGACACAATGGAGGGTCCTTTCTAATCTTTCCACCTAGGCTCCGCCCCTTAGAAACCTGCTCAATGAATATTCATGAGCTTTCTATTCATATTAGTACCTGGCTTCTCATGAGTGAAAAGGAAAACATTCAGAGAATCTGTGCTCTTCTTCCAAACCCCAACTTTCTTAAAATTCCCAATATGATTCTGTCATTATCAGAGTCATCTGCCTCTGCTCAGCTAATATTTTACGGAGAATGTACCCCATCCCCAGCACAACCATGCGTTTAGCTATCACGGGGACACTGAGCTGGGCTCCTCCCCATACATAAAATGCTCACCCTTACACATACACAGCACCTCCACTGTCCCTGGCACTGTCTGGTGCACTTGTTTACATTCTACCTTGTGGGAGGAGGGAGGCTGATACAAAATAAAACAATTTACCGCAGCAGTAAATGCTATGGATTAAATAAAACGTTTTTGTTAGAAAGTGACAAATCGAGGTGGATGGATCAAGAGGGACAGTATTATGCAGAGTCCAGAAAAGGTCTCTTTGGAGGAGTAACTTCTGAACTGAAACTTGAAAGATGAGAAAGATCAGGCGGAGAGATTTTTAGGCAGAAAGAGTGGCAAGTGCAAAGGACCTGAGGCTGCGAGGTACCTGGTGCCCTCTCTTCCCTGAGATCCTGGAATTACCCTTCAATCTTCCGACTAGGATGTCCTCCTCGCTCAGGCTGTCCTATATGCTCATTTTCCAGTCTCAGCAGTATTCGGATGCTCAACTAGTCTGAAATTATCACAGACTTCATTTTAATACTACGTACTTGACCTTCAAGGGCCTCAGAAAGAAAAAGCAATTCAAAGCAAGCCTGCACCCCCACAGGATCACTGCTGAGCCCACTGTCCAACATGTCACTGTTCCTCCTCTAAGAGTCCATGGGATACACTCCATTGGATTTAGTGCCCAGAAACTACAGTTCTGAAAACCTGTTTCCTTTCATAAGCCAAATGAATGACAAGTAATAATCTATCCTGTTTAACCTTTTTATTTTGGCTGCTGGCGCCCCGGAGCTAGAATGTAGCGCTCCTGCTACAGTAACAAATCCCACCCACGGTTTGTGGCGTGTCCACCCCTCCCCCCATTTATTTCTCTCTGTGGTTTCTTATCTTTAGTTTGTTTCATTTTCATTGCCCTGTGTGAAAAGTGCTTTTATTAAGCTGCCTGGAACCTCTGGGAATAGGTGATGTGTAAATCATTAATCACGAGTGCTTTCTAGACAATCACAAGTAATTTCCTCATTGCAAAATCCAGCGTGTCGCCTTAGTCCTATTCTTACCCTCTCTGCCACGTGACACAGCCTCGCTGTGCCTCTGCCTTAACCCTGCCTCTCCTCTCTGATATTTTCTGCGAGATCAATATATATATGAATAAAATTGGTTGAAAACAACACCTCCTTGGTTTCATGGCATACTACAGTATCTTCATTCTCTTTTTAACACTTTTTTTTCCATTCTGGTCATCTCATGTATGAGTGTATATGTGTGTGTGCATGTGTGTGCATGTGTGTGTCTGTGTGTATATATATATAAAATCATGCATTTTAGTTTCCTTCTTTCCCCACAAGCCCGGGATTCTATTCTAGGCTCTCAGTGCTCTCTACACATTTTCCTTTGGCAATCACCTTCTACTGTCACCTCTCAGTAAAAGATTTTCAAATTTTATTTCTAGCCCCGGCCTCTCTCCTGACTTTGCATTCCAAATTCCTGCAACCATCTGAAGCTCGGCGTTAGAATGAGGTCTTGAAGTTCTTTACCCCCCCAGTCCCTAAATCTCCCCCCAACATCTCTGCCAAGTGTTTGTCCACCAAGCATCTGACAGCAAACTTACCACCTTTCAAGGCAGCCCATCAAGTAGCCAGCAGTATTAAAAAGGTATTTCTGACAGAATGGCAACATACACCCCTATGACGTGTGCCCACTGGTCTTAATGCTCTTCTTATGAGAAAAATCAGAGCTGAGATACACTAAATGCCAAATGTGTGCCGGGGGCATTGCCCGTATCATCTCCTTACAAGCCTGCCGTGTGCTTTTACTATTCCCATTATATCATTGTGGCAACTTAAAATTACTCTAATTATTTCACATGGCCCTCCTCCAAGTTGAAACACTCCTATTTTCTGGGGGAGCCACTCTACTCCAGGTTTAGAAAGGACACATTCCTCCGATCACTTCTGCTCTGAATTATTGGTTTGGGGTAAGTTTACCATCTGCATCAAACACCTCCAACCATGGTGTGCAAAAAAAAAAGTTCACATTAGCATGCCAGTTGTGGTTTGAGTATGCAGAGTAGGACAGAACTGTCCCCAGCTTCATTCTAGGCCCTGTGTGCCTCTATTGACAGAGCCGAAAACCACACCTGCTGCTTTCTCCTGCATCCACCAGGCTTTGGGCCAACAGCCCGCTGAACACCCGCTGGAACTGAGGGACAGGTCAAGCCATTTCCCAAGTGAACTCAGCTTAGCCCCCCCACCTCTGCACCAGTTTGGTTTCTCCAGATCTTAGGAGCATCTGTACCACCCAGACGCAGGCTCAGATCCTCCATGTGAACTTTAAGGGTCTCTTATATCTTTCAAGTCTCACTGGTGACCAAACCCAGAAAGCTCGGGGTCAAACATGTTCTCACAAGGTCACCTTCGCATTACCTTAGGCTGGGCCTTTTGCCGGTTCCTCGCAGCTCAGACCTGGGCACCTGAAATCCTGTTCCTGCCCGCCTACCCCCGCTGCACAGAACCGAAGGGGCGCTGCCCCCCCCCCCCC